AGCAAGTTTCAGTCTCTCTGACATCCACATTTGTCTTTGGCTTCTTTCTTGTCTTCTTATTACTTTTTGATTTCTTCTTGTATGATGTTCTTAATGTCATCCCATAACTCCTCTGGTCTTCAATCTCTAGTGTTAAAGATACAGCAAATCGGTTCTTCAAATGCTCTCTAAATTCAAGGGGAACATATTCAAGGTCATATTTTGGCTCTTGTGGATTTGTTTTAATTTTCTTCAGTGTCAGCCTGAACTTGCATATGGACAATTGATGGTCCATTCTACATTCTATCCTTGGCCTAGTTTTGGCTGATGATATGGAGTTTTTCACTGTCTCTTTCCACACATGTAGTCAGTTTGATTTCTGTGTATTCTATCTGGTGAGGTGCAAATACCTATTTTAAACAACATAAAAGATGATTATACACATGCAATTGTCCATATGCAAGTTCAGGCTGTATAGGATTTCTGAGGAGCCGCTGGTGAATTTGAATTGCCAACCTTGTAATTCAAACTGACCTTAAGGTCTGGTGCTTATCCTACAGTGCCACATGAGGACTCCCTTTGTGGACTGTGTTATGCAGACTGATCTAGATGTCCCTCAAGGTTATAGCCAAGATTGCATAACTTTGCCTCCTGTATGCTCTACTACATATTTGCAGCAAATACAAATATGTATGTAGAAATTTCCTCTGCCAAACCTATATATGCACAAGGGTATACTCCCCAAATGCCTTCAAACACCTGTTAACTTGCTTATCTACCTACATATCTACATATATATTGTTTGTTGTTACTACTATTGCAAGATGCATTTGTGATAGTATTTGAAAGTATGTAAAAGGATTGGCACAATGGTAGCAGCAGCAATTGTGAGGATGGCGCAGGACTGGGTAGTGTTATGTTCTGTTGTATACAGGGTCGCTATGGGTCAGAACTGACTTAACTGCACCTAATGACAACAACAACCACAACAATAATATTTGCTGCCTTTCATTCTTGCATACCTTCCAGTGTCTTCCTTTGTTTTGGTCATGTTGTGCTGATCTCCCCTTATTGTGTATTGCCTTTCCTTTCTCCCAAGTTAATGCATGTCTACTAGCTAGTGAATTTCCTTCGTTTCTCCTCCCATTGTTGGTAACCATCAAAGAATGTTTCTTTGTATGCATAAACCTTTTCTTGATTTTTTTTATAACTGCAGTTTCAAAGAATATGTCTGTTTGTGATTGATTTATTTCACTTAGCATAATGTCCTCCAGGTTCATCCATGTTGAGGGATGGTTCATCATTATTCTTTAACATTGCATAATATTTTATTGTTTATTCATCATCCATTGATAGGGTTTTTTCATCTTTTTGTTATTGTGAAAAATGCTGTGATGAACATGGGTATGCATATATCCCTTTGTGTTGTGATCTTGTTTCTGTAGAACATATACCTAGTAGTAGGATTGTTGGATTATATGATAGCTCTGTTTCTAACTTTTAAGGAGGCACCCTGATTCCTCCCCAGGTATGCACCCATCATGCTTTCCATAGTGGCCACACCATTTTACATTCCAACCAGTAGTGTATGACAGGTCCAGTCTCCCCACACCTCACCAACATTTGTTGTTTTCTGTATTTGTAATCATTGCTATTATTGCTCTAAGGAGCTCTGGTAGCATAGTGGTTATGAATTGGGCTGAGAACCTCAGGGATAGCAGTTCAAAACTACCAGCTGTTCCGCGGGAGAAAGATGAGGCTTTCTGCTCCCGTAAAGATTTACAGCCTCGGAAACCCTGTACAAGGTCATTATGAGTCGGAACCAATTCCACGGCACATAACAACATCATTATTGCTCTGGTGAGATGATACCTCATTGTTGTTTCATTTTCGTCTCCCCATAAGGTCAGTTTGAACCACAGGTCAGTGGTTCAAACCCACCAGCTGCTCCTCGGAAGCCCTCTACTGGGTCACTATGAGTTGGAACCAACTCGATGGTACTTAACCACAATAATGGCTAATGAGGAGTCCTGATGTGGCACTGTAGAATAAGCACTTGACTGCAAAGTCGGTGGCCCAAACTCACCAACCGCTCCTCAGAAACCCTACACAGGATTGCTATGGGTTGTAACTGGCTTGATGACACTTAACAACAGCAACAATGGTTAATGAGGAGAAGCATAGTGGTTGTGTGTTGGGCTGCTAACCTAAATGACAGCAGTTCAAATCTACAAGCCACTTGGTGGGGGAAAGATGAGGCTTTCTGCTCCCATAAAAGATTTATAGCCTTGGAAATACTATACAGGGTCACTATGAGTCAGAACGGACTCAAAAGCACACCAATGCTACTAACACTATGATCCCTTGGGACTCCTATTATAGCACTGTAGGATCAGCACTGGACTGTGAGTCACAAGGTTGGCAGTTCAAACCCATCAGCTGCTCCTTGGAAACCTATACAGGGTTGCCATGAGTTGGAACCAACTCGACAGCACTTATCAACACAATGGCTAATGATTGTGAGCATTTCTTCATATGTCTGGTGGCCACCTCAATGTGTTCTTTGGTGGAATGCTTGTTCATGTCCTTTGCCCATTTATTAATTGGATTATTTGGCTTTTTGTTGTTTCAGCTGAGTTTTTTGTTGTTATTTTGTTTGTTTTTAAGTGCATATTGTTCAATGGAGTTTTTAAGGTCAAATGTATCTGAGAAGAACTGGATCTTTTTCAAGCTTAAAGATCATCTGGGTCCTTCACCCAAGTTCTCTTATCTGTTCAACGAATGATTATGAATGTCGACTAGGTTCCAGGCACTTAAGGATGCATAGATATTTGAGCTACATACACAGTCCCTTCTTTTGTTTAATCTCTTCTGAGTCTTCAGGCATCCATAGGTATAATACAAAGAGGATGCTGATTTGTTTCTCCTTTATTTAAAGAATCTGAGTACTGCTTTAAATAAAATGTGTCATTATTTTCATTGTGGAGTTGTGGTGTGGTGCTTGGGAAAAATGCACTAGACCACTAGACTGCAAGGTTGACTTGAACCCCAAGGTTGTTGGTTTAAATTTATTAGCTGCTCTTCAGAAACTCTATACAGTGTCACTATGAGTCGGGACCGACTTGAAGGTACTGAGCAATAACAAAATTTTCACTGAAGTAGGAAAATGCTTATACTCATAGGGCATTTTCAAAGCTAAACTCATTTAACAGGGGAAAGCTGAAACCCACAGGTGAACTAATGTGTCTAACATTATCCAGTGTAATCTGGGCCCTAAGAGATGCTCCCTGAACACCAAGCTGCCCATTTTGAGCTCCATCATGCTCTCTGGAGGAACTTTTCTACTCCCCCAAGGGCCAAGGTCACACAGATTAAACACCCTTAAAGTAATGAATAAGGGGGCAAGTTCTGAGTGAACAAAGAAATCCTACTTGAAATATATCCTTTGAGCACTTTTCTAACTTAATTATTTGTTTTTCACAGACCCCACTATCGACTCTTGGTGTAGCACTGAAATTCCATAACTATTCAATAACCAAGAAGAGTTTGAAAGGTTGTGACCATGGATGGTGGGAAATTAATGAACACATGTAAGTGGTTTCCATATGTGAGGAGCCTGAGGAAAGGTTTCCCCCTGAGATTTAGTTTGGATTCCTTGTCTGCAAAGAACTGGCACTTTACTACTTACAGATTGGGAAACTGAGGGACACCAGAATTAAATAATTTGCTCAAAGTCATTCAATTAGTAAGTGAATGAGCCAGGATTCATCCCTTATATCTCCTGAGTCAGTGCTCTGTTGTTCAGTGTCATCAAATCATTTCTGACTCATAACAATCCTGTATAGGGTTTATGAGGAGCATCTGGTGGATGTAAACTACCAACCTTGCAGTTGGCAGTCCACAGTGCTCTATGCTGTTGGGATATGGGTGTATACATTCTACACTTCACAAAATTGTCTGGTAGATAAAGTGTTTCAAATCATGGATCCATAGGGGAAAATAGTAAATAGAAATCCTAGTAGTACAAAAATTAGAAACTATTAGTCAGTTATGTGCAGCAAAAAACCCAAACCAAACCAGTTGCCGATGAATTCATTCCACTCATGGTGACCCCATGTGTAGCATATCAGATCAGTACTCAATAGGGTCTTCAGACTTTGAACATCATCAGGCCTTTCTTCTGAGGTACCTTGGAAGCTGAGTTGGTGAACAGGTAAGCTGAAACAGTTAACTGTTTTTCCCACCCAAGAACGTGTCTTTGCAGTAAAGAGAGCTTCAGTTGGCTTGGCTCGATTCCAAACCTGGAACATGAGGTGAAATTGATCAGACAGAGACAGAGAAATCAAGGCACTGGGATTCCTGAATTCACTTACAAGGTCCTCCCTCTGACCCTTACTTTATTTACTAGTTGTGGTTTCTTATTTGCTCTTAAAGCTCTAATAGCTCCTTTATTCAACAATAAAGGATCCTTTTTGGGGGACAGTTTTACCTGGAGATAAGAATCCTTGTGAGGTCAAAGGATGTGCCTGTCATTCTTTGTTCATTTCTATTCCTTTCTAAATGATTTTCCATAATAATCTTTCAGTTTCTTTAGTTGCTCAGATGATCCTGTCTTAATTGGAATTTTGTTAAGTGCCTCTCTGTGGGTTCAGACTCATAGCGATCATGCATAGAGTTTCCAAGGAGCACCTGGTAAGTTTGACTGCCAACCTTGCCATTAGCAGTCCAGTGTTTATCCTACCGTGTCACATGTTGTTATTGTTGTCAATTAATGTTGGTAATGTTGTAAGTGCTGTCAATTTGGTTCTGAATCACAGTGACCCTTGTATAGGGTTTCTGAGAAGTACCTGGTGAGTTTGAACTGGCGACCTTCTGGTTTAGCTGTTCAGTGCTTAGCCTATAGTGCCACACCAGGAATCCCAGTGCCACTTGTTAGGAGCCATCAAGTTGGTTCATGATTAATAGTGATCTTTACGCACAACAGAACGAAACACGCCTGATCCCGCACCAATCTCACAATTATTGTTACACTTGAGCCCATTGCTGCTGCCACTGTGCCAATTCATCTGATTGGGGATCTTCCTCTTTGTCTCTGACCTTACATGTGGTGCTGTGGTATAAAGCACTGAACCACAAAGTCGCTTTGAAACACAAGGTCAGTGGTTCAAACTCACCAGCCAATCCTCAGAAACCCTATACGGGGTCACTATGAATCGGAATCGACTTGATGGCACTAACAACAACAACAACAACAACAGTTTAGTAGTAGAAACCTGATACCATAATGGATTACAAGCTGGGCTGCTAACTGCAAACTCAGCAGTTCGAATCTACCAGTAGCTCTGAAGGAGAAAGATGAGGTTTTCTGTTCCAAGTAAGATTTACAGCCCTGGAAACCCTGTACAAGGTCACTATGAGTCAGTACTGACTTCATGGCACATAAACACCACCATTTGGAAATATTATCAGGAGAGGTCTGTCATTGGAGAAGGCCCTCATGCTTAATAAAGTGGTGGTAGTTTTGGTTGTGTGCCAATGAGTATAGGATTTCTGAGGCTGTAAATCTTTACAGTAGCAGAAAGCCTCATCTCTCCCATGGATCTGCTGGTAGTTTTGAACTGCTGATCTTGAGGTTATCAACGCTACTCATAACCATTAAGCAACCAGAGCAAAGTATAAGAAATGAAGTCTCACCTTTCTTGCTTCTAAGGAGCATCCTTCCAACACAGATCTGTTTGTTCTTCTGGCAGTACATGATACTTCTAATATTCTCCTCCAACACCATAACTCGAATGCATCAGTTCTTCTGTGGTCTTTCTTATTCATTGTCCAACTACATATGAGGCAAAAGAAAATACCATGGCTTGGGTTAGATGCACCTTTGTCCTCAAGCTACTTTCTTTGTTCATCAAGCTATTAAACAGGTCTTGTGCTGCTGAATTGCCTTAAGAAAAAAGAGTCATTTGATTTCTTGGCTGCTGCTTCCATAAGGGTTGATTGTGGATATAAGCAAAATGAAGTCTTTGAAATCTTCAGTCTTTTCTCCATTTATCATGATGTTAGTTATTGGTCTAGTTGTGAAGGGTTTTATTTTCTTCACATTGAGGTGCAGTTCATATGGAAAGCTGTGTTCTTTGATCTTCATCAGAAAGGTTTTTGTTTTTTTAAAGTCTTCTTCACTTCCAACAGTGAGGTTGTATCATATTCCAATTTATTAATGAGTCTTCCTCCAATCCTGCTTACATGTTCTTCTTCATGTAATCCATCTTCTCCAATTATTTGCTCAGCATACAGATTAAATAAGTATGGTGAAAGGATATAACCCTGGCACACACTTTTCCTGATTTTATACCATTCAGTATCCCCTTGTTTTGTTCAAACAGCTGCTTCTTGGTACAGATTCCACATGAGCACGATTAAATGTTCTGGAATACCCATTCTTTGCAATGTATTCTATAGTTTGTCATGATCCACACATTCAAAAGCATTTGCATAATTAATAAAGCACAGGTAAACATTTTTCTGGCATCTGTATTTTCAGCCAAGATCCATCAGACATCAGCAATGATAGACTTAGTTCCAAGTCCTTATCGGAATCTGGCTTGAATTTCTGGCAGTTTTCTGATAATGTAATATTGTAGCCATTTTTAAATTACCTTCAGTGAAATTTTACTTACGTGTAATATTAATGATATTAATAGATAATTTCCAGATTCCATTAGGTCACCTTTCTGTGGAATGGGCACACATATCTATCTCTTCCTATCAGTTGGCCAGGTAGCTGCCTTCCAAATTTATTGACATAGAAGAGTGAGCTCCTCCAATGATTTATCAGTTTGTTGAAGGACTTCAATTTATAGTCTGTCAATTCTTGGAACCTTGTGTTTCACCAATGTCTTCAGTGCAGCTTGGACTACTTCCTTCAGTACCACTGGTTCTTGATCATATGCTACTTCTTGAAATGTTTGACCATAAACCATTTCTTTTTGGTAAGTGACTCTGTGTATTCCTTCCATCTTCTTTTGTTGCTTCCTGCCATTCAATATTTTCCAGTTTTCAATATTTCAACAGAATCTTTCAATATTGCAATCTGAGGCTTGAATTTTTTCTTCAGTTCTTTAAACTTGAGAAATATTGAGGTGTTCTGACATTTTGGTTTTCTTTGCCCATTTCGTTGTAATACTTTAGTTTGTCTTCTCAAGCTGTCCTTTGAAATTTTCTGTTCAGCTCTTTGACTTCATTTCTCCCATGAATTTTAGCATGTCTATGCTGGGGAGCAAATTTCAGAGCCTCTTCTGACATCCATTTTGGTCTTTCCTCTCTTTTTAATGACCTCTTACTATCTTCCTGTATGATGTTCTTTTGGTCTTCCTGCATTAGTGTCTGTTGCATCAAATATGTTCTTGAGATGGTCTCTAAATTCTGGTGGGATATGTTCAAAGTCATATTTTGACTCTCGTGGACTTGTTTTCCTTTTCTTCAGCTTCAGTCTGAACTTGTATATGAACAATGGATGACCTGTTCCACAGTCTGCCCCTGGCCTTGTTTTGGCTGATGATATGGAGCTTTTCCACCTTCTCTTCTCATAAATGTAGTCATCTTGATTTCTGTGTATCCCATTTAGTAAGGTTCATGTGTATAGTTTTGCCTTTTATGTTTTGTTTTAAAGATATTTGAAATGAATAAGTCATGTTGTTGTTGTTCTAGCACAGAACAAAATTGAGATGACAGAAGTTACTCAATCATTGTCATTCATTATAAAACTAATAAGTCACCCAGTCCTAACATCAACATGTCAGCTGATAAAAATACTAGCAATGCAATCAGTAGAACCTCAAACTGTGTGTCCTTCCTGTCTCTCTTATTTCCTCAGGTACTGTGGCTCCTACATAGATCACCAGACAATTTTCCGAGTGCCCAGCCCCCTTGTTCACGTCCAGCTCCAGTGCAGTTCAAGGCTTTCGGACAAGCCACTGCTGGTAGAATATGGCAGTTACAACATCAGCCAACGTAAGCTTGGGCTCTGCTCCTTAGGAAACCTAAAAAAAAAACAAACAAAAAAAAAAACCACTCTATAATGTTACACTTTGAGAACTGAAGGAATAAAAGATGTTGCAATCAAAAGAAAATAACTTTTTGTCATTGCTGATTAATAGTTGAAAATATGATCTCTCTAGATTCTTGGCGTACAGGACAAGACCATGTCTTGATGTGTTGTTCGTGCTAGGCATAATTTGTTGTACATATGATTTGTACAAATACATAGAGTGGATTTGAGTCCACAAGCTGTGGCTCACTTTGGCCCATGACACTGAGAGATCTCCACTGGTGGATCAAAGAGAGTTGAAATGCTAACCTAGAATGATGAACTTGAAGCTCACTTAGAGATGCACTGTAACAATGGTCAGGAAGTGGTCTGTAGAGAGGGCAATTTTCGAGGCAAGTACTTGGAGCTGGAGAGAGTAGATAATGGCTTACTCAGAAAACACTTGACCAGTTCCAAAAGGCAGGAAGTAAGGTTTATCCACTTAGGAGTCCAAGAGGATATGACTTCAGAGAAAGCTCTTTTAGACCAAGTCATTCTCTGTCAATTCCAATACACCTGCTTTTGGATTCAGAATGCTACAATTCCAAACAAAAATAGAAGGGCATAGGAAGTCATCTTAATTAAAAACATTTTTTTAAAGTATGAATATTTTTCAGTGTCACATTCATTCCAATTTGTACCATTGAGACAGTGGTTGGCCTGACCATGTATTCTCCCCAGTTCTTTTGCATAAGGGAAGAAAGGATTTATTATTTATCTGCTATTTAGCTTAAAGTCCAGGATTAATGCTTCCATATCTGGTAAGGAAACATTATTTAAAAACAGACTGGTTGTAGTGGAAAGAATGATGGATAGGAAAGTAGGAGGCAGGAGTCCTGGGTTTGAAGGCCAGTCACTAATGCCTATAGGTTCAACTTTCTAAGATCAGTGTTTCTTAATGGATTTGGAGAAAGAGAATATCTGAAATTGTAATTTTAGGCACAGATTGCTCAGAATAACGCATCTGGTCACAGAGGATTCAGAGACACCAGAAATCTGAAAACAGAGAAGTCTAAAGACTGTATATTAAGGATCCTAGACTCTCAGTCACAGGTTGCTATGAGTTGCAATTGATACAATGACAATGGCTTTTTGGTTTGGGGTTGGACTCTCTAGTTTTCTTCCAGTTTTTGTATTCTTCTAGTCTACAATCAAGACTAAGACTATGTCCAGGGTATGGTGACAGCAGAAATTTGGTTGTGCATGTGAATGGAATGCAGTATTGACTGAAGCATTTTAGTGTATTAACTGGTTTTGTTCTTTGATCGTCTAAGTTCTGCCTTTCTTGTTGTTGTCTTTCAATAATTCATGATCCTGCTTTGGTGGAGAAATTGCATAATTACTATTCCAACCTTGGCAACTCTGCAAGCACTTAACAGTTGCACTTCTGTGCCAGTATGGCTTGGTGCTTTGTAAGAACTTATACAAGATTTTCTGTTTTTTGTTGCCTCCAGCCTGTCCTGTTGGATTTTTCAGATGCTCCTCAGGCTTGTGTGTTTCTCAGGCCCAGCGCTGTGATGGGGTAAATGACTGTTTTGATGAGAGTGATGAACTTTTCTGTGGTGGGTATTCAAGCTTTTAATATAAGTTTTTATCTATAAATAACCTGTCAGGGAACTGTTGCTGTTGTACTTCTTTGGGCTTTGTTTTTAGCTACTTAACAACAACAACAAAAATCTATAGATGCATGAAAAACTACCCCAAAAGTCAGTGGCTCGTGACAATCATTTATTAATGTGGGTTGTCCGGGATATGGCTGAGGTAGGATGGGCTCAACTGGGTGGCTCTGCTTCAAGTTGTGAGTCTGGATGAGTTTAGCTCTTCCCAGTGGGTTGGGATCAGGTTTACTCCACAAGGTCTCCGCATGGTCGTTTCCTCCTTGGAGCTCACCAGTCGCTCCTTGGAAACCCTATGCAGGGCTTCTATGGGTCAGCACTGACTCGATGGCACTTAACAACAAGAGCTACTTTGGAGGGGAGGGAGCCCTGGTGTGGTACTGTAGGATAAGCACTGGATTGCGAGGTTGGTGGTTCAAACTCACCAGTCACTCCTAAGAAACCCCATACAAGGTGGCTATGAATCAGAATCAGCACGATGGCACTAGCCAACAACAATATTTTGGGGGTGAGGGAGTCTCTGGTTTAGTCTTTTCATTACTATTTTCACCTAATTCCTGAGTTCATCTCCGGTTTCAGGAAGCTATATGAGGAACACAATTCACAAGATCATGTGACACCATCAGAACACTTTCTCCTATACCCTTCTACAAGCAAGAGTATTTAATTCAATACAATTATGATAGTAATGCTATTTAATTTCTTTAATATTTTTGGTAAAATGTCACCATTTATATAATGTGAAAATTTTACTTATAAAAATTAACTTGCAACTCCATACCTTAATCATTGGCAAAACAAAAGAAAACTCACTTATTTATAGTGTATTGACTATTTAAATCTAAAGGTCTTCTGTATCTTAGAAAAATAAGAAAATTCACTGCCCATAAACAGGGATTGGAGGACAGTGGTTAAGTGTTCAGCTGCTAACCAGTGGGCCAGCAGTTCAAACCTAGCTGCTGCTCCAGGGAAGAAAGAAGAGACAGTCTGTTTGTATAAAGATTACAGCCTTGGAAATGCCATTGGAGCAATTCTACTCTGCCCTCTGTGGTTGCTGTGACTCAGAGGCAATGGGTATACAGTGATTGAGGCTACTTTTAAAAACCATTATTATTCTCCTCTGCTGTGATGCTCCAAATGAAAGTGACTGTATATTACTTTACAATAAGGGACGTTTTTTGGTAATCAATATTTCACATGCTGCCATTTTAGGAAAGCAATGTCCTCCTCCCTTTGCCTTCCCCCCACTCCACTCTCTACAGAAGATGCTGATGACTCATAGTGATCCCCTCATGTGACAGAGTAGAATGGTCCCATAGGTATTTCTAGCCTGTAATCTTTACAGAATCCTGGTGTGGTGCTGTAGGATCAGCACTGAACTGTGAACCAAAATGCCGGTAGTTCAAACCCATTGGCTGCTCCTTGGAAACCCTATACAGGGTCGCTGTGAGTCAGAACTGACTCTATGGCACTTCACAACAACAACAACAATCTTTACAAAAGCAGATTTCCAGGTCTTTCTCCTGCCATACCACTGGGTGGATTTCAATAGCCCACTTGTTGGTTAGCAGCCGAGTGCTTAATTCTTGTGCCACCAGGGTTCTTTTCCACAGACGATACCTCTGCAAAGAAACAGGAGTAGATAAACAATGATAACTTCTCAAAAAAACAGAAATGTTTAGGGAATTATTTATAGTGGACTGCTCGCCACAAGGTTAGCAGTTTGAGTCCTCCAGTTGTCCTTGGGAGGAAGAAGAAGCTTTCTGATCCCTTAAAGATATGCAACCATGGAAACCCTACATAAGGCCATTAGGAGTCAGAATTGATGCATTGCCAGTGGGTGGGGAAAGTACTTGGTAGTACACTATGTCTGTCTCAAGTCAATTCATGAAAATATTACACGAAAAAAAAGTTGTGATAGATTTACTAATGTTGTGATCGATATTTTCTAATTCAGAAAATAGATCTCTCTCATTGTGAAATAATTTTAAAGAAAGTGTTCCTTACACAGAAACCACCAATCTACAGAATGCCCTGTCAGGCTTCATGCTCATCCATTTATTCAGCAAACCTTTAGTGAGCACCTATGATTTGTCAGAAGTTTAAGGGACAGAGGAGCCCTGGTGGTTCAGTAGGTTAGGTGTCGAGTTGCTAACCACAAGGTCATTGATTCAAACCCACTAGTCATTCTGTCTCTGACATCCATTTTGACCTTTGGATGTCAGATTGAAGTTGTCAAAACTGAAGTTGTCAAGGACTTCATTCTTCTAGGATCAACTATCAACACTCATGGAAGCAGTAGTCAAGAGATCAGATGACGTATTGCATTGGGAAAATCTGCTGCACAGGAACCTTTTAAAGTGTTGAAGAGCAAAGATGTCAGCTTGAGGACTAAGGTGCGCCTGACCCAAGCCATGGTATTTGCGAAAGCTGGACAGTGAATAAGGAAGATCGTAGAAGAATTGATGCCTTTGAGTTGTGATGTTGGAGGAGAATACTAAAAGTGCCATGGACTGCCAAAAGAACCAATAGATGGGTTTTGGAAGAAGTGCAGCCAGAGTGCTCCTTGGAGGCCAGGATGGCTAAGCTTCGTCTCTCATACTTTGGACATATTGTCAGGAGGGAAGGATGGAGAAGGATGTCATGTTGGGTAATATGGAGGGTCAGAGAAAAAGAGGAAGACCCCCAACGAGATGGATCAGCCAGGTGGCATCACTGATGGCATCAGGTGTGGGAGCGGTAGTGAGGTTGGCCCAGGATAGGACATTGTTTCATTCTGCTGTGCATGGGGTTGCTATGAGTCGGTTCTGACTTGATGACACCTGACAACAACAACAACAAGTCATTCTGAGGGAGGAAGATGAGGCTGTCTTCTTCCGAAAACATTTGTAATCTCAGAATCCCCATGGGGCAGTTCTACTTGGCTCCATAGGATTGCTTTGATTTGAAAGCAGTGCATTTTGGGGCTGAGGAACAGACATGATAAAATAAGAACGCTACTCTCCCAAATGTTCCCAGTTTCTTTAGGGAGGTGGATACATTTACTTTAGATTCTAGCTTATGGCTTTTGTTATTTTTTTCCCAAAATAATTTCCTTATGATGAATTTAATTGCAATTAAATAAACTACCACATTTTAACACATTTATGCAAAAGCAAAACAACAGATCTGATAAACTCAGAGGAATTATGTTATTGTTGTTAAGTGCCATAGCAACCCTGTATAATGTTTCTGAGGAGCAGTTGATGGGTTTGAACCACTACCTTGCAGTTTAAAACAACCTTGTGGTCCACACCAGAACCAGAACCCCTCAGAGGAATTATTCCAAAGTTTAAACATCTGCTTTTACTCACCGAGGTAGGTGCTAGTTTTGAGAACAATATGTATTTTTTATTGTATTGAAATCATCTCACTGATTTGCACCTTGGGAGTAGGACTAGTGGTCTTTAGAGAATGCAGCTCAAGGCTCAGACTCAGGAACTTTCTGTCTATTCTTTGCTAGTGGCTCTTAAACCTGATTGCAATGCCAGCTCCTTTGGGCAGCATGACCCTCGGATCTGCGATGGCTTCCTGAACTGTGAGGGTGGTCACGATGAGCAGAACTGCACCCAAAGTAAGGAACGGTCCGCTGCACTCTACCCTTTCTCCTGTCAATTCTTCCTTAAGTCAGAGCTGAACTACCTTTGCTGGCTTAGGAAAATCAACTTCTTCCAGTTTCTCTGGAAGTGTCCAAGTTTCAGCACTGAAGTTCCCATGCCCTTAGAATTCCCTCACCCCCAGGCAAAGCAGAACAAATAGGTCACCTTAACTATGGTGGAGTGTGCATGTATGTGTGTGTGTTGTTGTGTGAATACTGACAGATGTCCATTGCTTAATTGCCTTTAATGTTGCTCCAGGCTGTGGGTCTTGATAGCCTGATTGAGGGATTTGACAGATACCATGATGGAATGCACATATTTTATTTGTTGCCCCTGCAGAAGCATACTCCATCAGCCTTGTTAGCAAACAAGGCTGTCATTCACATTTGTTTTCCTTAACTCTGTAGAAGGCCTGAGCGCAGTGGTAAAATTTTTCTTGAAGAATGAAATACAGTAGTAGTAAGTCTGTGGTCTAAAGCCACTGATCTGGTCAACTCATTTGCATCTTGCTTACAGTGAAAGGAGAGGAGAGCCCTAGGATTGATTCTCAACAGAGGAGGCTGCCTGCCTTCTACTGGATTTGCTGGTGGGGAGGAATGGGTCATTTGGGTTGCTTCTGCTCCCGCTGCTATTTCTCCCTGAGCTGCAAATACCAATTCTGTGGTTAACCATCCTTTGAAAAGTTCAATGCCATTCACTCAAATTAGTTCTGGCTAGGAAAAAGCCTTTCTCCTTTTGTTCATTTTTAGGCATTCCATGCAGCAATAGAACTTTTAAGTGTGGCAATGATATTTGCTTTAGGAAACAAAATGCAAAATGTGATGGGACAGTGGACTGTCCAGATGGAAGTGATGAAGAAGACTGCAGTGAGTAGAATGATGTTGATGTTTTTTCATTTTCGTTTTCTTCTTGGAGTAATCCTACTATCAGAGGTTGCCAAAGACCCAAGGAAGAATAGGAGCCATTTGTTAGGTGATCAGGTTTAGGACACACCCTACATTGATATAGCCTCTTTGCCATAACCAAAAAACTCTATTCCCAGATGTGATTGCATCCACAGGTATAGGTTTTAGGATTCCAGCTCATATTTGGGGAGACACAATTCCATCCAACACAGTGAGTTTGAAGTTGCTTTTCAGAAATAAAAATTCTAGAATAAACCCTGTCTTCTTTCTTGATAACTATCAGTACACTAGCTAGATGTTTCTAAGAAGAACTTTCACTTTCTAATAACTCTGATAAAAACAGAAACCTTAAATTTAAAAAACAAACAAACTATGAGGAAAGAAATAGAAACTGGAACACAGTGTTGACATTGTTAATCATGCCTTATGTTATGAACAACTTAAGTGCTTGTTTCGTATGTGTAATCTAGTAACTGTAATCTACCATATGTTCTTATTAGTCATATGGCTGATTACATGGCAACATCTTAATTATACAACCTTATCAATGCTATATAAAATGCCACTATGAGGAATAAGGTGCACCTGATCTAAACCATGCACTTTTAATCACCTCATATATGTGAAAGCTAGACAATTAATAAAGAAAAATGTAGAACTGATGTCATTGAATGATTGTGTTGAGGGAAGAATAATAAATTTACCTTGGACTGCCAGAAGAAGAAACAAATCTGTCTTGGAGGAAGTACATCTAGAATGGTCCTTAGAAGTAAGAATGATGAGACTTTGTCTCATGTACTTTGAACAAGTTACCAGGAAGTTTAATGAAAAAGAGGAAGACCCTCACTGAGACGGATTGCCATACTGGCTGCAGCAATGGGCTCCAATGCAACAATTGTGCAGCTCACACAGATCTGTTTTGTTCTGTTGTACACGGAGTTGCTGTGAGTCAGAACTGACTCACCTGACAGCAACATCAATGCTATTTACACTGAAAAATTTGCTCTGGTAACTACTTTGTCTTGCTAGGATATCATTTGGCTTGGCTTGCATTTACAATTCTCTCCCAAATTCTTTCTGTCAAATTAACACAAATTCAAAGACACTCAATTCTATCACAGCTGAAACTTATCTTTTCTTCAATACCTAGCAACCTAAGCTCCACAGACTGCTCTTTGTATCATTTCATCGGTTTCTAACAGGCCACCCTCAACCATCTTACATGTATTAGTATGTATAGAGACTCTGTGTCATAGTACATTTTCTGCTAGGAGGGAGGAGGCAGTTGGTTAGTGTTACATTTAGACCCACATACTCCTTCTCCTCGAATGTGATTTTCCATTGCTTACCTGGTTTGTTGGGAGCATGAGTGCTCCATAAGATAAGCAATGGGTTGTGAGCCACAAAGTGCATGATTTGAGCCTGTCAGCCACTCTGCAGGAGAAAGATGAGGCTTTCTGCTCCCATGGAGATTCAAAGCTTCACAAACACTATACAGGGTCACTATGAGTCAGAACCAACTTGACAGCACTTAACAACAACTTGGTTTGTCAGTGCCCAATACAGAACTAAACTTGATTTAATTTCTAGTTTTTTGTTCAAGGTTGTGTTTAAATCATATGACCCTTTCTCTGGCAAAGGCTGCAGCAGGAGCTCCTCCACCATCCACCGCATCATCGGGGGCACTGACACTCTGGAGGGTGGTTGGCCGTGGCAGGTCAGCCTCCACTTTGTTGGAAATGCCTATTGTGGAGCATCAGTCATCTCCAGGGAGTGGCTTCTTTCTGCAGCCCATTGTTTCCATGGAAACAGGTAGGGCATACAATCCCTGCTCTAAAGTGATTCCCTCTCTGGCTGTAAATATACATCTCCCTCACATATTGGGGAAAAGATTCCTGTTGAAGAAATGCAATCAATCCAATTGTTTCTATGTTTCTATCTGTCTGTTTTTTGTTTTTTTTTTTTTTGGACATATAATGGGAGTTTGGAGGCTCTGTAGGGAAACCACTGGACTGTGAACTACAGGTCTTCGGTTCAGTCACTCCATGGGAGAAAGGTGACGTTTTCTGCTCCTCAAAGATTTACAGCTTCAGAAACCTTAACCAGGGTTGCTGTGAGTCAGAATCGACTCCACGGCAGTTTATGACAACAAACTTCATGTGCCAAACTTTGAAAAAAAAATACAGTATTGATATAAAGACAAAGGAACATACTAAGGAAACACTAGGAATAAATAGGCTTTTGCTAGTCTGAAAAACAAATAGGATTGAGCTTTCTAGTCAGAGGGAGCTAACCCAGTGGAAGGCTCAGGAAAGAGCAAGCATTAGGATGGCTGGAGTATAGGCATGCAAATGTGCAAGGGAGGTGGATCTCAGGGTTAGAGGTGGAGAGCTTTGTCTGCCTTTCCCAATATTTTATCATAGGACAGATGCTTTTCCAGCTAAGGATGAAAGGAAAGCTTAGAAAACAACCTTACCTAAAATTTCACCTTATTAGGATTGCACTGAATCTTAGGTACAAAATTAGTAGCCATTTTTATTTAAACTTTGTTTGTTTGTTTAAGGTTTTTTATTGTGGATTCAGTGAAAATTTACAGGGCAGATCATCAATTTTACATTCAACAAGTCATACACTTTGTTTCATTACAATGGTTATAATCCTTTCCATGTACCATCAGTTAGCAGTATTTCTCTCTATTCATTTTAGCTCTTTTATTTTTTTTTTAAACACTCAGGCATATATAATAATTTACACC